CTCGGTCCATGTCCTTGAACCTTCTTCTTCTTCTTTTTTGGGGGATGATGAAATCGATAGTGTGTTTCGTAGCAAAAACTAGAACAGATTTAGCGTAAGACAAACGTCTCCTTCTGTCCTGGTCGTCCATTGGCTATTAAGTTTAGCTTGTGAAGCTAGCACTCGGTTTCATAATAGCGAAAATTGTTAACTCATAACGCATTACAGGGCAGAAGAAGGACCTATTACTTTTGCGAAAGTAATGTAAGGCCAGATTTCATCAATAGCATTCATTTCAGTAAAAGAGAAGTGGACTCAATTTTTAACATACAGATAAGTATTATGGTGATATTTTGTGCATGAAAAGCAGTAAGGAGGCTGAAAATCTCAAAAAACGTGTGGGCTCCAGGTCATGTATGGCACGCGTATACGGGCTGTTTAGTTTCGTCAATCACAGCCCGCCTACGTTTGTACCGATTCGTTTTTGCGGACGTTGAGACCATTTTTATCGGCAGCTGACTCCTCATATACATGTACATGCATTTATGTGTATATATGTACATGTATGTATACGTATATGTGAAAGTAAGCTGTCGAATATGGCCGCGTGAACCATTAACAAGTACTTTCAGTACCAATCTGGTCGGAATTTTTTATCCTAGAGGCATACTTAGAAAGGCGTAATGCGGGTCCAAGTGGCCCATGTGTATGCAAGACAAGCGGCAAGCTTTTAACCTACTTACTCACCCCACTGCGATATGCTCTCACCGATCCTGGTTAAGCGGAGAACGAAGAAATATGACCATCATCTGCAAAGTTGGGAGGCCTGTTAAGCTAGGAAATACGTGTATTTCTCATCTTTCGATTGGAATTTTCTTTACTGCAGCTGGGAGGTTATCATTTTTTATAATCATTTTTTCTTATCATCATTATTGCAATCATCATCTTCTTCGGGTTTTGACAACCACTGCCCATAATTGGTATTTTTCTATTGTATAAATAGTTAAGAGCTGTTTTCAGAACTGTAGATTGGAGTCAAATCATTAAAAAGCAGTACGGAAACCAGCCATAACTCAAGTCGACTACTACTTAAAACGAATGCAGGCGCTTGTCATGGCGTTTGCCTTCAGTTTGTTATTCAAAGTAGTGATTTAAGTGAGTTACGATAAAAATTTTGAAGAGGACGAATCGCAAAACTGCTCCAGTTTGAACGCACTTTAAGGGATTCTGTGTCATTGAGTTCGCAGGCCAAATGGATAGGTCGGACACCCTTGTCGTCCGCCAGCTCTACGTTACTGCCCAAAGTAATCAGATGATGCAGAGCAGAAAGCTGAGAATGCGTAATTGCAATATGAAGCGGTGTATAGCCCTGATTGTTCCTCTGATTGATATCTGGGAAATAACAGCAGAGTGGAAGCGCAATGAGAGCATACAGTAGAGAATCGACATAAATCAACTGCTGCAACTTCTACATACATTAAAGTGGAATAATACAAAAACCGTAAGTAACTGTCAAATTAACTACCATATGTGATCAATGTCTTTATTCAGAGTTAACGAAAGATGTTTCGGCGAAACAACTCATACTCATTTCATTTAACGTAAGTATGTTTTCTTAATAAATGCTCGATGGAAATTCTGAAATGTGTTTTCGACTCTACAAAAATTAGTTAAGTAGAATAAGAATAGTAATTATCGAATGACATGCTCCCAAATATTTCCTTTACTTCATGATGCCGGTTTTGACGAAAAATTTATTCTAGCCGCTTTAAAAAAACTTCGTTTAAAAATGCCTAAAGAACTGGCATACTTTTATCTCAGTGATGCTTCGATGTCCTATATAGACTGCATAAACTGCATAGACAGCAAGCATCAAACTATTCTTTCTTGTACTTATTTGGAAGAAAAGTATATCTCCTTCAGTATATGAAGGGTATTTTGTGATTTAAAAAAAAGATTTCTGATACTGAGATTGTATAACGCCCTGAAAAAAACCCCTTCCAAGGCATCAGATCTTTCCTTTCATAAATGTTGGTTGTACCATATAAAACCTATTCCACGTCCACTAAAACTGCTTATGAATACGACAGTACCTCTTTTTAGAAGCCTACATAACTGTAAGATTTTCCGTATATGGAAAATATGCAGCTGGTAGTGCAGAAAACCTGCATGCATCTGTAACAACAGGTTTAATTTAGGAATTAATAATTTTTTCGAACGGAAATGTTTCCTTCCCTATGAGACAACTTTTGAAGATGTACTGAAAAGAGTAAAGGAATGGTTTTATGCATCTATTCGATGAAATTTATTTGAATCGGTAAGACCACTAAAATTGAATGGGGAAATGTATACGGCTACTTAATCAGAAATAATCATCTCGGTCCGAAAATTTCTCATGGCTTACACATAGCTGCCTTATTTCCACCAGTGTCATTTTTACTTTCCTTAATTTCCCCCTCAATTCAGTGTTTGCGGTTGAATTAGCTCAACCAGATACTGTATTTTTACTTAAGCAAAATTCTACCCGAAGGGGGATTTCGGGAAATGTACACTTCGGCTTTACAAAATAGGCCTTTATGCAATATGCGCTAATAATTACCAGCTCCACGAGACACGAGAATGTCGATCATCTGTAGATGGCCACCAATGACTGCGTAATGAATAAGGTAGTAGCCTTTTTCGTCGCAGAGTCGAACTAGGTCTGGTCTGTCAATCAGTAAGTCACATAGTACTCCAATACGATTCTGATTTACACACTGAAAAGGAAAAATGCATTAAGGTCAGAGTTGAAATCTTGGCTGCGCTTGAATCCAGCTTTTTGTAATATTTAGATTGCATAACACAGACTTTGAAAGTAATTTCACCCAAAAGTCAAGAATGGAAGACTGTCCAGCCAAACAAGAAGCAGTCAACGAGTTGGTAAAGATAGGTTAGGTAAGACACTTCGGTTTCATCTCTATAGTTTAGAAAGTTAAAAATTTGGTAAATTAAATTATTTAACAAAATAAATAAATCAGCATTAACACTAATCCCGTGTACAACATTCTTGGGTTAAGTGATGATACATATAATAGACTGTTTCCTAGCTTTGTACGATGGGGGCTTGGAATGTCCTGGTGAAGTTTGTTATATCATAGCTATAGGAAGTAAGCATCTGCGTCTTAACTAGCCCACTCATATAATGGCATGAACAAAGTCGTTTTATTGTGACCTTGTTTATTGAATACATTTTGTAGATTGGTAGTAGCTTTAGGTTTATTTTTATCTTATCACACTCCATTCCGTTGCCATACGCAGGCCAAGGAAAATACAATTCACGAAAATTCATCTATCCTTAATGTTTTTTTGCACAATTTTCGTTGTTTTCTTAAAACCTCCCATTAACGCCGTTCCCGTTTTAGACATTCGTGCAGTTATTTGGGGGGTGAGGGCAGTTTACATAATCACCCCTTGCCGGCGAGTTGATAACTAATGGCATATTTTCCTCACCTGAAGCATAAACATCAATTGCAGGAGGTGATAAAGATAGTAGGCTTGTTATTATGCATTACGTCTACCAAAATGCAAATTGCAGTCTCCTATTTAATGAAATGTTAACTAACATTTAAAAATGCGTTTTCGATTAGAAACGTCCACTTAAGTAGGGATGTGCGACAACATACATTAAAGCTTTGTACCCAGGAATTTCAGTCAAGTCAGGGTGCGCACTTTCGAATGAACATACGTTCCGCTTTCTTCAGAATCTGTACTCTGGAATAATAAACACTGAAGATGTCTAGTTTTTCAAGGATTTCACGTCCTTTTAAATTAAAATAGATCTGCTAGAAAACTTGCAGAAAATACTCATTCTTGCAATCACTTCGCAGCAATTACTTACTTCACTTTTGTACTTAAAGAAAGAGTATATTTCTATTTCACAGAGACTCCTACCTATGAAAAATGTTAAACCATCGCAAATGGCTATTGATTAGTGTTGCTTGTAATGCGCATAAAATGATCCAAATTGATTGTTTCAGTTAATGAAACCTGTATAACATCTGATTGCTGGCGTATAGAAAGGCATACATTTCCTTTCACGGAAAATGAGCAGCTTTTTTTATGAAAACCAGAATGTAGGTGATACAGTAGGACGGTTTCATAATTATTCGGGACTGGAAAATTACTTTTGAATCTTTAAAAGCACTAAATATTACCACTTAATCTGTCATTCTTTACAGAGTCTATTGTTTGCATGCAGCCGAAAAGGAGCTTTCAAAAACTGGCATCCGAAATATCTTTCGATTAGACCATAGGATCATAAATATTACAACCATAAATTGAGTAAATATTTTCCATATAAAATACATTTAACTAGGTTTTAGTTAGCGTTGAATGAGATACACTGCGGCCGGAAAGTCACGTAAAACGCTGAAATTTTCGAAAGATTGATACTCACTCGCAAACCGGCAATGGTGCATGTACGAAAACTTTAAAATAATAATAAACATCCTTACACGGATTTAAACTTAAAAGATATCTGAAAGGTACGAACTATTTTATTAGAAAAATTGAATTTTCGAAGTAATACTCAAGATCCACAGACATGAAAAGTAGTTATGAATTAGATCAACAAATATAAATATAATCGTCGGGTGAAATCATACCCATACCATTTTCTTTACACCAAAATAAGTTTTCTCCCGCCAAATTTCGCTATACATATTTCGGATATTGAATTTCAATAAGTTTCAGGTTCTCCTTTAAAGTCCGGCAACATTTCGATCATTTTCGGTGTTTTCAAGCTTTCTTCCATAAATGTATACTCTTTTCGATGTTCATGTCAAAACCTTTAGAATATGATATTTCTGAAAAGCACTTATCAAAAACGTCGAGTTGTGAATATTAGTTCTTATTAATATAGCTATGTTGGTCATATGCAAAACGCCAAAATCATTGTCAAGCAATAAGGAACGCCCATAACAGAAGTCTGATATTGTTCTGCCTAAGGTTTATTTAAGGGTTCTCTATAATAGACTACCTTTTTAAAAGCACTTTAATTAGATATTTAGCTAACAAATATCTGTGCAGGTTTCATTTATCTAAGGTAGAGTCAAAGTGAAATGGAGATTTTTGACCAGCTTTTTTAAATTTATCTGAAACTAAATGATACAATTTTAACTGGAGATGAGATGACTTACAGTTCTCTTTATATTGGGAGTATTTTTCGGCATAATTGATAACTCCAAGGCTCCATTATACGACTGCGAAAGCAAAAAGACTGACCGAAAACAAACTAAGATTTTGGGATCATTAGTAATTTTCTGTTTGTTCCGTTTCTAGATTAGGCATAAGAGGGAATTATATGGTAAAAAAGTATCTTTCTACATGCTCTACATTTAATAAGATTGTTATGCACCTTCATTTGCGCGATAAAATATATGTATTTTTGTGTATTGTCCCAAATTGTTGATGTGGAAAAGGAAATGCGGTAAAAACCCCTTTACTGCGTTTTGTGACAATAGCTTCAGCTATTAAACAAACTAATTGGCAAGGGTACCTTATAAACCACACCGTAGTTTACTATAACATAACTAGCCAACTAAAAATTATAAAACTAGATAGTAAATAAAATCTGATGTAAACTAAAACTAAACTAAAAATAGATTAACTGAAAACCTAATTAATAAACTAAACCTTATAATAAACTACAACAAAATGAGTAGTCAGGTGTGTTATAGAAAAATACGGTGTTGCTTATAAGGAACTCCTACCGAATATTTTCCTTATTTTAGAAAAATAATGCGATTCATTACACTTGGCTTCGGTTGATTTTCATTAAATTAAGACCAGATTTTCCGGTGCAGGAAGACATATATTTAAAACTTTTCTTGCGTACATTGGGTTTCTCCTATATCACAACGCATAAAAATAGAAGTTTTGGTTCCGTCGCAGTCAATCTCATAGAGAACTTGTTTTATATCAGGTAACCTCCGTTTTTGCCAAAAACTCTGCCCAATTCCTTTAAATAAACTGAACTGAACGGGCAGTTTTGCTTACTTAAAGACTTTCCCAGGATCAAATCCACTCATACCATCAAAATAAAGTTACCAAATGTAAACGAAACTACCAAGTCTAATTTCGATCATGAATTTTCCTCACGTACTGTAGGGTCGAATGAACGTCTTAAGTTATTTATGCTGTGGAAACATCGTTGGAGACCGCAGTTGCTCATACAATTGTTTAGCCCTTACTCTAACGTAAATGGTCTTTCAGGTGGAAGCACACCACCCAAACAAGTGTTCATTTAACCCTGATCGAGAGCGAAACCTCCACTCACCGAAATGGCCGATAAAAGGTCGGAGCGGTGATCAGATAGGCTTTCCGGTATGATCGAGAAGAAGATAGAACTGGCCACATCGCTCTGAGAGTTTTTTACTGACCGCTCTGAATGCTCCACTTCACCCTGGTTTCTCCAAGTCAATAAAGTTTCCAGTGCTTCCCGATCGCCCCATGAATTCGCATCGAGACCCTCCTCAGACAGATCAGCCTGGAACCTTGCGCTTGAACCTTGGATAGAGTATATATCTGCCTGCAGTGTCGAGGGTGGGCTTATATGGCTTCCTCTTGG